CACTGCACTTAACAAGTGTAAAATTAAGATGAGGTCTGTGCCCTGAGGAGTTACAGTTCAAACTCTAAAAATGGAACAGTAGGACATGGCAAATAGCTACTTGTTTCATTAATAGCCTCATTAGTGAGAATTCCTTTAAGAGGAGGGGAGAGGAATATCTCCAAATATGTGTTTAATAATATACAGAGTAGTGCAAATTTCTTGTCCCAAGAAGTAGTGGACAAGAGTCTAAATGGGCGTAAAGTTGTTCCTGCAGAGCCTTTTAAATTTATCAGATGGGATCCAGTCTGCTTCCTCATCTCATCCTAACTGGGAAGGGAAGCCTGGACTTCATTTCCTTTTAAACCCTTTTCCTTTATCTCTCCTATAATGAGTCAGTGCAAAGACATGTCCTGCTCAGATGTTGCTACAAGCCGGTTAATCCTGTTTCAGCTTCTAAAGCGTAGGGGTCACAAATTGGGATCTTTCTAGTTGAGAGGACAGGAAATTCTTAAGTAAGCTGGTAACAGTCACAAACAAACCTTCCTCTGCTCAGCCTATATCTTGATGTTGGGGTCCTCTGAGGTGGACTATTGCTAGGGCTGCAAGTCTTTCATGGAGGTCATGTGACTTTCCGGGACCTCTGTGACTTCCATAGCTGCAATGGCTGGTGCGGCTGACCCCAGGGCCATCTGAGCAGCTGGGGTAGGCCTGGGGCCAGCGGCACCAGCTACTGCTCAGGCAGCCCCGAGTCCCCTAGAGCAGCACCGTCCTCTGGAGCACACCCCCAGCACCTAACATTTAGTTAGGGTTATTTTTAGCTTTTAGCCTTAACTATTGCTTGCTGTACAATAGGTGGTTAAGTCAAGACTAGCAGAAAGCATTGAATGAGTTTCTTGGGTATCTCGCAGGGACCAAATACATACTTAGAACAAAAAAAAAAATCACATTTTAATGGTAGCAAATATTGATTTCAGTCTGACTTCAAAAGTTTGTCTTCATGGTCTTCAAGTTGAAAATACTTGCTTCTTTGGGTAACCTAAATGGGCTAGAGCACAACTGTGTCTTAGAATGTTTTCTCTGTTTAGCAGAGAAGCTTTCTGTAAATCAGACACAAGCCAGCACTCTGATAGCTTAGCATAGCACTTTCACCCTTTGGAGAGCCACTCCAAATTGGTCACTCACCATAGAGAAGTGTTGAAGGCTTGGATGGTTGTACATCAGTGTAGTACCGAGCCTGCCTGCTGGGAACCAATACTGATGTCATAAATAGCAGCGTTTTCCAAGTTTCTCAGTATACATTTTTTTAATTACATGAAATGAAAGGATTTAAAGCTGCTCTTAAAATTTGCTGCTGTGCATATTCACTAGCTTTTTCAGTTATTTTTGAGGCAGTCTCTTGGTAGTTCACCCAGGATACCTCTTGAGAACTGGGTACTGTCTACCCAGCCTTCCCTCTACAAGGGTATGCTTCCGCACCGCCAACCTTGGCAGCCATAGAATTACAGTAGCACCATGCTTTGCCACAGAAGGACTTTAAAGCCAGTGGCTGTTGTTGAATGAGAGAGGAGAAAATCTTAGACCCTGTGTCACTTTTTGTTACAATGAGGGCATTTGCTTTAGTGTCATGGTTAAAGTTCAGCTGGAGAAGTTTTTCTGTCTACCTAATTGCAGGAGGAATTTTTTGGTTATGCAGTCGTCTTTGTCCTTATCTGTTGTGTAGTGTTGCTACAAACTGCCCCACAGGTGGCTACAGTCCAGTGGTAGGTGAAATGAAAAAGCTTCAGCGTGCATCAATAATATCAGTGTGTTGGGGGTCTTTGGCTGAAAGACACTATAGGATGTCAAACGTTTTCATGGGATTCTAGTTGTTCATATATGCTACACTTAAAGTGCTGCAGTAACTTGTAAGCAGTCTATTTAATGCGGCCGAGATGGCAGAAAAGCAAGAACAAATAGTTAAAAGTTCTATTCGTAGAGCATCCAAAAGACTGCCAATGAATGTCTTTGAACTGATGCCTCCATACCGTCTGACTGTCTGATAATTGCTTTATGAAGATCCCCGTCTCTAGTATTTCTAACAGCCTCTTCTGGATGTACAGAATCAACGGAGGGATTAGGCAATGTTCCTTTGGCTACTTTACTCACCAGAATGGCCGAGAGGTTAAGGTGTTGGACTTAAGTTCCAATGGACGTGTGTCTGCGTGGGTTTGATGGGGGTGGGATAGCTCAGTGGTTTGAGCATTGACCTGCTAAACCCAGGGTTGTGAGCTCAATCCTTGAGGGGGCCATTTAGGGATCTGGGGCAAAAATTGGGGATTGGTCCTGCTTTGAGCAGGGGGTTGGACTAGATGACCTCCTGAGGTCCCTTCCCACCCTGATATTATTCTGTGATACTTTTTCAGCTGGGGATATTACTCAAATTGTCAGCGTCTGTCTTCATGCCTGACTAGCTGTTTTGCTGGCTAAATCCTTCAAAGCTAGAGTGCCAAGGTGGTCCTTCAAACAATCCATCGTGCCGCTTAAGATAAGACCAATAACTTTACCCGAGACAGGCCTCTTTTGTTACATTGCTGCCCAAGTTCAGATCTGCAGCTGGCGCTTGGACTGCTTCAGACAAGGTCAGCTGAAAACTTTGTTACTTAGCAGACTCTTATTGGCAGTGAGTTACCTTGATGCTGGCTTTCCTCTCCTCTAAGATGTTCCCTGTTAGGGGATACCAGCATTAGCCTTAGAAGATATCTCTAGGGAAACCCAAACTCCTCTCGGCTCTTCCTTCTAGAGGAATTATTCTTTCTGTGCATAAGAAGCATTAAATGGCTTAATGAAACCCTCCACTTCAGCTATTTCTTTAGTGGAAGTTCTTATAAGTGGAGAAGGAAGGACTTGATTGCTTCATAGTTCTAGACCTGTTACTTAACACACACATTAACACCTGGATAGTTTCAGCAGGAATTCTACTCTTCCTCCTTAGTGAGAACTGATCTCAACTGCTGGGAACTGTGATCCTCTACTTCTGAAAGAGGCTATTGCAGAGTCTTTGTTTCCAGCAAAACATCTCTCCCCATGTTGAGGGACACCAACTCCACAGACTAGTTAGAAAATAGTATAGAGGCCTTTAAAAATTCCTGTCTGTTTGCCTCTACCCAACTTTTGGGTCTTTGCATACAGCTTATGCCTGAGCAAAATAACGACAGTTCCTTTTGAGACCTACCCCTTTTAGGGTGACTTGTAAGTTGTCTACCCTGTAGGATTTTCTTTCCTTTCAGAGATGTCTCAAACTTTCTCAGGATTTCAGCATGTAAATAGGCTTCATCCACCATAGCGCTTGGAACCCCATGGTAATCCTCCTGTACTGGAGGAAAATCAAGCTTTCTACCACATATAAACTAATGTCCTTTGCATATTCTTTCACCTGTTTGTGCAACTCATAGTCCAGGCTCCTGTCAGCTTAGGAGAAGCCCAAACCTATGGTGCTTCAGCCTCTCACACCTGAGAAAAAATTGAAATAGGATTGTAACTATCACTCTCCCCTCTCACCCCCCCACTCCCTCCCAAAATCAACTAGCCATGAAAGGGAGCCACCAGAGTAACTTTTTGTAGTGCTAACTCTTTCCAATGGAGAAGTTGAAGCACAGACTATTTTTGATTTTTTTACTTTTAAAGCATTACGGTATTCAGTTTGTGTTGCTACCTTGATAACGTGGGGCTTTTGCATTGTCTAGCCATCATTGGGTAGCTTGTCACAGCTCATCCTCAGGAGAGGGGACTTTGATTTGAGTTGAATGGAAACTTTGCTTGAGTAGTTCAGGAGAGACTGGGCAGGACCTAGAGTTAATGGCAGCCAAACTTCGTCTTCATTATGATTGGTACCATTGCTTCTCTTGAGGTCACAGCTTCATCCAGCATTCCAGATGGTGGTTGGAGGTATACATTGCCCTCTGTTTGTATGTGGTTTGTCTAGACTAAGCTCTTTGAGGCAGGGACTTCATTCTCATAACTGTATATAAAGTGCCTAGCACACTGACACTGTGCAAATAAATTTTAATCTTTCTCCCCTGCTTTAAGAGAAGGAGGACTTGTGGCACCTTAGAGACTAACCAATCTATTTGAGCATAAGCTTTCATGAGCTATAGCTCACTTCATCAGATGCATGCTTTGTAACTATGGCTCAGTAGCTTAATTCTACAATTACATAATATATTATCAACTGCCATATTATTCTGAGAAGGTTTTTTTTAGCTATTTCATTTTAAACTCCTACAAATGTTTTGTAATTCCTAAGGGTCTGACATGAATCCTGAATGTAACTGTGGATTTAAGATGAGAGCAGAGGTCTGACATTCAAGCCTTGATTCTTTGCTTTCTCTTGCTTGGGCATTGCAGCAGTTTCTGAACACAGCAATGCTACATGCGATGTGCTGCAGTCCTTGGGCATAGTGGGCTGACTTGTTTTGGCCCAGTTTCCCCAAGCTGCTGTTCTGATACTCTGATCATCAGTGCTTAGATTCCAAGAAAGCCAAGTTCATTTGTTTTATTTTCTAATCCATCTGCTCTCTCATTGACTTCTTTTCTCCCTGTTGCAAATATGCATTCTCCCCTGTCATGCTGAGAGATGGAACGATTCAGTCCTGTTTGTTTCCAGTCAGACTTCTGAAAACAGTTGAGAGGATGAATGCCTACCTCTTAGCAGGTTTTCTGCTATGCTGTCTACCTAGACTTCTTTAAAGTAACCTGAGTCAGCTGCAGCCAGAAAGATTTGAGATATTAAATGTGTGCTACCTATGTTCCATGGGAAAACCCGCTCTCAAAAAGCTGTATCTTCTTCCCCCTCACACAGTGATGTCTTCCTTGCTCTCTGTCCTAGTTTAGCATGTGAAAAACATGATATACATCTGTGGCTTTATACACATGAGATCCATTTATCTATTAATTGGGGTTTGGGCTGGAAAGTTTTGGAAAGTTGACTGGTTATCTCTGCTTTTTGATCTGTTGTGTCTAATACTTCTCCACCCAAATAGACTTCATGGGAGACTGTAGGGGGAAAGAAGAAAAGCCTTGGAAAAGAGAGTTCAGAAAACAAAGAGAACAGAGAAAAGCGAGGGGACAGGGAAGTGAGCCGTGGACGGGGAAGCTCCAACAGACGGGGAAGAGGAGGCAACCGTGGCCGAGAGTGTAAGCACAGACACCTTCATTTTTAAAGCTCTAGTCGCCTTAGTTTTTCTCTTCCTTGCCGCTGAAGTTGGTTGAGTTATGAAAGAGAAGAGGATCTAATGGAATAAAGTCCAGCAGAGCCTCAGTGTGGTGACTGAGTTATTGCATTTGTTTTTTTGGCAACAGGTATGCATGATGCTGTTACATGTCTTGGTTTCGAGAGAATTTATCTTTGATTTATCTTTTTAAAGGCAAATTGAATTTATTTGAAATACCTTCTGCCTTTTTATGATCACATAATCTTTTGAGAGTCGCTGTTCGGCACTTAAATTTGGAATGGAACCTTTGTAAGGACTTCATATTGAGCATTGTAGAGCAGATAAAACCTGATACATTTTCCATACATTTCTTTTAACGAGCAAATAGCCAAGTTTTGGTTCCATGTCATATGAGTGGGAGAACCTGAGGGTGGTCTCAGTTTTATGAAATGTTTTTCCCTTTTAAGGGAAAATGAAAAGGCCTTGGTATATCCTGGGGATTATGAGCACATCCATGCACAAAAGATAAGCTTCTACACAAATAGAAAGGGTTTGGTGTGAACCTAAACATTATTAGAATTACCACAGTGTATTCAAGGACAGTGATTCAAATACACTGCACAAAAGAGTGCTAAATGCTGCAAACGCTATTTCCAAAGTTAGGTAGTACTGAATTAGATCACCTTTGAGTATGTTACCCATTGTTTAAGCCATTTCTTAAAGTACCCCATACTATATTATTAAAAAAAATACATGCCAAGTCCATATGAAAAATATACGTACATTTAAAAAAAAAAAACCAAAACCTCCACCCATATAAAATAGTACACTGCACACGCAATTCTCCCCTTGGAGAGATGATGAGAGTGAATGAACCACATGTGACAGATGTTAGTCACATTACTTAATGCACTACTGAAAAGCCCTCAGATGCTACAGTGATCAGGGTCTGTAAGAACTTACGTAGAATAGAATAGTATCTAGATGCTGTTTCGTTTAATGATCTGGAAGATGATGTAAAGCGGATATTTATGAAATTTGCAAGTTGCATTTAGAACAAATAAGGGACTATCAGAGACTTAGTACATGGTAAGCCAGAGTGTGAATGCACAGTGCTCTCGTGTGCCATGTACTAACTGACCATGTGGACAAGCCCTAATTCACCAAAACCAAAAAATAGTTGCCCAGAATTTATTTGTCAGAGACAAATGCAGCTTGGCCTTCAAGTTTTGGGCTCTGTGCTAAATCTGGAATTTAGGGTTTTCAAATGGGTTCTAGATCTTGCAAAATGTGCTCTCCGCACCTTTATGTGCACATAGTTATGTCCCCATTGCAGTGCTGAATACAAGTCGTGCAGTGCAGAGTCTCCATTTAACTGTAGCAAGTGCTGTAGTAAGTGGTGAGAGTCATCATTTTCCTTCAGGGACCCCCTTCTTTGGATTTCAGCTGACACTTCAAAACATCCAGCCAGAGGTTTTCCACGGAACGTAGTTATAGAGCTCTTGTAAAAAAAACAAACATTGTGTCCCATGCAGGTTAAATGTAACGGACCAGATTCTGGTGGACTCTGTGTGTGAGGTGAGGGAAAGGGAAGGCATGAGATGGGAGGCTTCTTCCTCACCCCCTTCTAGTTCCTACTGGTTCTTTTACAAGGGACAGTCAGAATGTGGTTGGGTAGGGAAGGCTCAGTTTAAGGCTAGCTGCCGCCTCAGAGAGGTGAGGTCATGATCCTGTCCCCCTTCAGACAGGTCAGCAGAACAGGCCAGGGAGAGAGTGTGAAGCACCAAAGAGTGGCAGAGCTCCTGTTGCCCCATATTTCCCCCTACAGCCCCAGGTAGGGTTCCTGCTAAAAGGTGATCTCCCTTGCCCCCCCCCCCCCCCCACAATGCAGGGTGCAAGATTTACGAACTTACATTTAGGCACCCAAATCCATGTTTAGATGCTTAAATAAGTGTATTGATTTGAGAGGTGCTGAGCACCCACAACTCCCATCACCTCTACTTCACCTGCTGTACCAGCTCAGCACCTCTGAAAATCCAGCAGCTTATTTAGGTGCTTGTTAGAAACTGTGAGCTACGCAATCTGTTGCTACTCTCTTTTCAAACTTCTTACAAATGTAAAGATAAAATTTCCTACCCTATCAATCTTCTGTCTTCTCTCCCCAGTTCGAGTAGAAGAGAACGGTGTGGACAACAGTCAAGGGGAGAGGCCTTCAGACCGTGGGAAACGTGGCCGTGGGAGAGGTAATGTGGTGGTGGTTTTGTGTGGACAATCACAGCTTTTCTCTTGTTCAAAGGATAACTGGCTTTTTTAGATCTCAAAAAGAAGAGTAGCTTTAAAAGCCCAGCCACATACAATAGTCTGTGCCCTTTGGTTCCATAAGAATAAGCGATGTGTAATTTTATTTTCATGACATTTTTGGCTTTAGTGACCTAAACAAGGTGCACAAGTCTGCATAGCAGGTTCAGCTGTGGGCTGGCGTACTCAGATCTGTCACTTGACCCCAAAGAGATCCAGCATTTGGGCTGTGAGCCCTCAATAACCTGCTCTTATGGGGAGTGCCAGCCACCCCATGAAAGTCAAATCTGAGTGGAGAGCTGTGGACCCCCAAGATACACTATGACCTGTGGGGCAGCATTGGGTTATTTTATTAAAGATAATGAAGGGGTGGAGGAGTTTGACTTGTACGCGTGCCAGTCCCTCAAAGTGGATTCTGGTGGTGTCAAGAATGCCATCTCTGCTTTGTACCCTATGGGGGGGTCGTCATGCTTCTCTGAGGCTTGCTAGCTAGATGACATGGAAGGCTAAGGGGAACCTGGGATACTGTGAGGGAAGAAAGGGAATCAAGAGGTTCAGGAAGTAATCTAGATTGTGTTGCGCTGAAGATAAGGGGAAAGAGTGAAATCTGGATTTATCGGGGATTTGGGAGTCAGGGGAAGCTTCTGTTGATTTAGTGGGTGAAGTAGCTTTTGGGAGTGAAGTGATTTCTTTAGCATGGGGGGAGGGTTCATGGGGAGCCGTAGTATCTTGTGGGTTGGAAGACCAGTGGTTGTTGCTAGGAGGAGCTGGGGTAAAAGTGTGTCAGAGCTAATAAAAGCAATAAGTAGCATACTTCTAATTTCATATGCATGGAATATTTTTGCAGTACTCCATATCCTTGGCATAATACCTGAGGATAATCACATGTTCAATGACACGATAGCAACAGTTAATCTGTATCTAACCCTGCTCTTTTAAGGACTGGAAGGAAACAAGGGCATGTAGTTTCCAGAGCAGTGCAGGAACATGACCAGGCTGTGCATGTGAATCAGCAAATACCAGGATAAGTATGTGTATAGAGTAGCGGTTCAGAGAGGGGGACGTTATAATTAACTGCTACCATTTTCTGAGTTTTCGCACCAAAAAACAAAAGGTGCTAAACTGGTGGAGCTCAGTTTTTGTGGAGAAAGTGAAATTTCTGTTTAAGCTTCTGAGGTGTAAGGAAAAGAAATTAAAAAAAAAGATTTAAATTAGATGTTTTTCAATTGATGGTGTCCTCCTCCAAGATGAAATGTATTCCAAAAATTAGTCTCCCACATTCACCCAACTCTTTACAGTTTTAATAAAAGTTTGCTGGTGTTACCCTAGGCACTCAGATACAGTAGTGAGGCTAAGTGCTGTAGGATAACTAGATAGTTTCTTAAATGTCTCACAACTAGGCATTTAATAATCACTAATAGAAAGCTGGCATACCAGACTGAGAAAAGGAATGCTTTGTGTGTGCCATCTTTAACCAGACACAATTCATTGCATTGTGTGGTACTTCTATATCTGCCTAACAAATAGACTGCACAGTCACATAAATGAGCTAATTTAATGAAAGGCCATCTGTAGCTCTTAACTGTCGATGATAAACTCTCTCTTCATATGCTTCTGGATCATTGGTTGATGAGTGCATTTTGGGAGAGAAAAATACCTAGTTAAAATTTACTACAGTAATCCTTAAAAGCTGCAGGGATTGCTTAAAGCTGTACATTTCACTTCCTCACTGTTAAGTCTTCTCTTTTCAGGATCACATGACCACCTCTCTCTCTTTGCATATTAGCAGAAATATAAATTTTCCTGCAGTCAGCTTAATGCAATAAAAACTGGTTTCTTGCTGCTTCATTAAATATAGAAAAGTTGAGACCCGGGATAAAGTTTCCCTTTCAATAGAGAGCAAATTGGTCACTTTATGTAATCTAGTAATAACACCGTTCAGAGGCATCCCATGCAGCATTTGTATCTGCATTTCTAATGCACGTGTCACTCAAAAATCTAGGCACCAGATACAAAATAAGGGGTTGGTTAATGTTTGAACAATGGACTTTATCTCTCCCTTCCTATTTTAAGCTGCCTTCTCAGGCAGGAATAATCTTACTGGCTGTTTTCTAGGAGAATCCTTGCTGGGCCATCATGTTACTCCTTTATAGGAGAACAGCTTGATTTAGAGAAATGACAATGTGTACTCATCCCTGAAAGTGGCAGGAATGGGGCTAATCCTGTGGCAATAGTGGTGCGTAGCCCTCCATAGAAACCCCTGCTCTGAGATTTTCACCCTCTGTAGGCTGCATGCTTATCCAGCAGAGATACTGTAATCAACTGTGTGACATTTTTTCTAGCTGTGTGCACTGGACATGGTGCTATGTTTACAATGTACAAACAGTACAAGCCGGTGTAACAGCAGCTGGGGTCTGGAGCAGTTTTGTACTATTGGCTGATTAGTAGAAGGCAAAAGCACTTGTCAGGGCCGGCTCCAGGCACCAGCGTTCCAAGCAGGTGCTTGGGGCGGCAATTCGAAAGGGGCAGCAGTTCCTCTGGCCACAGCGACAATTCAGCGGCAGCTTCTCTGCGTCGCCCGCTGAGGTGGCAAATGGACGGCAGCTTCTTCCTTTTGCTGTCCGCGCTGGCAGTTTTTTTTCACTGCTTGGGGCAGCCAAAACTGTAGAGCCGGCCCTGGCACTTGTGTTAAGATATTGCCTACTGGAGTGACTCTACTGCTCAGACCTTAATCTCTCTTAATAAGCAGAGGGTATAATCTTTGATTTGGAAAGGAGTCAAAGAATGAAAACTTTTTAGCTGGGTCTTCAGTATCTTCATCTCTCCTTCTCAAGACCTAAGTTCCTGAATAAGTTTAATTTATCCCTAAGGAGTATTAGTAATATCTATGAGCATTATTTCTTGCAATTACTGCCTGATAGCGTTACAACATGCAGTTATGATACATACTAAGATATCTTGTACGATACATACTGAGATATCGCAGGCAGGCTTACTAAGCTAGTGAGGAGGGATTTAAACTAGGTTCGCCAGGGATGGTGACCTAAGCCCAGAGGTAAGTGGGCAGGTGGGATATGGGAAGGAGACACAAGGAGGAGGGTGCAACAGGAGAGGCCTCCTGATACACTACTTTCTCAGTATGAAATTGGCTAGTTATCTTAGGTGCCTGTACACAAACACAAGAAGCCTGGGAAACAAGCAGAAGGAATTGGAAGTCCCGGCACAGTCAAGGAACTATGTTGTGATTGGAATAACAGACATGGTGGGGTAACTCACATGACTGGAGCACTGTCATGGATGGGTATAAACTGTTCAGGAAGGACAGGCAGGGCAGAAAAGGTGGAGGAGTTGCACTATATGTAAAGGAGCAGTATGACTGCTCAGAGCTCCAGTATGAAACTGGAGAAAAGCCTGTTGAAAGTCTTTGGGTTAAGTTTAGAGGCGAGAGCAACAAGGGTGATGTTGTGGTGGGCATCTGCTATAAACCACCAGACCAGGAGGATGAGATAGAGGAGGCTTTCTTCAGACAACTAACAGAAGTTTTCAGATCACAGGCCCTGGTTCTCATGGGGGACTTCAATCACCCTGACATCTCCTGGGAGAGCAATACAGCAGTGCACAGACAATCCAGGAAGTTTTTGGAGAGTGTTGGGGACAACTTCCTGGTGCAAGTGGTGGAGGAACCGACTAGGGGCCGTGCTCCTCTTGACCTGCTGCTCACAAACAGGGAAGAATTAGTAGGGGAAGAAGAAGTGGGTGGCAGCCTGGGCAGCAGTGACCATGAGATGGTCAAGTTCAGGATCTTGACAAAAGGAAGAAAGGAGAGCAGCAGAATATGGACCCTGGACTTCAGAAAAGCAGACTTTGACTCCCTCAGGGCACGATTCCCAGGAGGCTAATGTGGGGGGGCAAGGAGTCCAGGAGAGCAGGCTGTATTTTACAGAAGACTTATTGAGAGCTCAGGAACAAACCATCCCGATGTGCAGAAAGAATAGCAAATATGGCAGGTGACCAGGTTGGCTTAACAGAGAAATCTCTGGTGAGCTTAAACACAAAAAGGAAGCTTACAAGAAGTGGAAATGGACAGATGACTAGGGAGGCATATAAAAATATTGCTTGAGCATGCAGGGGTGTAATCAGGAAGGCCAAAGCACAATTGGAGTTGCAGCTAGCAAGGGATGTGAAGGGTAACAAGAAGGGTTTCTACAAGTTTGTTAGCAACAAGAAGGTGGTCAGGGAAAGTGTGGGACCCTTAGTGAATGGGGAGAGGCAACCTAGTGACAGATGATGTGGAAAAAGCTGAAGTACTCAATGCTTTTTTTTGCTTCAGTCTTCACAGACAAGGTCAGCTCCCAGACTGCTGCACGGGGCAGCACAGTATGGGGAGGAAGTGAGCAGCCCTCAGTGGTGAAAGAACAGGTTAAGGACTATTTAAAAAAGCTGGACATATACAAGTCCATGGGCCGCATCTAATGCATCCGAGGGTGCTGAGGGAGTTGACTGATATGATTGCAGAGCCATTGAGCATTATCTTTGAAAACTCATGGTGATCGGGGGAGGTCCTGGACGATAGGAAAAAGGCAAATATAGTGCCCATATTTAAAAAGGGAAGAAGGAGAATCTGGGGAACCACAGACCAGTCAGCCTCACCTCAGTTCCTGGAAAGATCATGGAGCAGGTCCTCAAGGAATCCATTTTGAAGTATTTGGAGGAGAGGAAGGTGATCAGGAACAGTCAACATGGATTTACAAGGGCAAGTCATGCCTGACCAACCTGATTGCCTTCTATGATGAGATAACTGGTTCTGTGGATATGGGAAAAGCTGTGGACATGATATATCTTGACTTTAGCAAAGCTTTTGATAAGTCTCCCTCAGTATTCTTGCCAGCAAGTAAAAAAAAAAAGTATGGATTGGATGAATGGTCTATAAGGTGGATAGAAAGCT